AAAACTATCATTTTACTTACAAAACATTCGGGTCTTGGTAGAAGACTACATCTCAAACTGATAGGAAATAAGGGATTTTCTAGGGTTTTTCATACGTACATCAACACTTTCATTTAACGATTTACATGGCCTTTATATTTTCACAAACAAGGTAATGACACTTATATACTTATGAATTCACCATCTTTAAAGTTGATACTCGCTTTCAAAATAACTTGTATTCTTAGGTCGTCAGTAGACAGGTACGGAGGCCAGGTTTTGAGAAGATGGAGCAGACAAGTCTCGTCTTTTATTTTGATTGTATATTTTTGGTGTCTTACTACAATGAAAGTGTCACACCCCCAAACCAAGGATGGCGGAAACGTCTGGGGGTGGAGGACTTCATGTAGAGTATCACAACAATGAGTATAATAGTGCTCAAAGTAAAAACAACCACCATAAATATAATTGCAAAAGTTACACCAAAGTAAATGTTTACATCTTTCAAAAGCAATTACATTATGATGACAAAATAATTTGTTGACGGTTTAACGTCCCATCCTCAAAGCGATGAAGTTTTCCTGTTTCACTGATTCCCTGAGAATACAAGTAGTTTTAAAAGTGTCAACACAAAGGTTGGTGAGTTCATAAGAGTTTTGTTTGAAGTAGAAACCGTTTTTCCTTGTAAAATCGATATAGTTTGATTTCCAGAAAATCCAATATTTTCTTAGTTAAGTATGAATAGAAATAATCCTACATGATGCATTAATGAACCTTAGAGCAATCCGTAGAGTTCCTCTATAATCGTCCAGCGTATAAAAGTTATATAAGGGTTAACTTAGATAAAACGTTGAATATAGTGGGTCTGCCCCAGGTCCACAACCCAACGAGGAACAGGAGATGAGGCGGGCACCACCAATTCTAGGCCAATCATGACTAAATTCTTATATGACTCAAACATATACGCTCAGCAACTATAGCTGAAATCTAACAATTCTAGAGGAAATATAGTTTTAATATCATAATAACTTTGTATAGAGACCCGACGTTTTGTATTTGTACCCATAGAGATAAAAGGTGATTTTAAATCGACATAAAACTCATTTAGGTTTTAAAAATAAAATCCCGTAAACTTATGGATTGTTCCCTATGTGAGCCGTTATAATCATACTATGACTATGTGAACCTGCCACGACGTTCTCAGTGTCGCGAAAAATGAAATGACATTTGTCACCCGTAGACCTGCAGATCCCACTGTAGCTAGCAGCGAGGTGTGGGGTGTCAATCCCAATATAGATCTATATACAAGTATCACGTTCTCCCTCCAGGAGATTCTGATTATAACTACCAGGAATTATATCCCGCACTCGGACGTACGGGGAGAGAGATAGAGAAACTCACAATATAGGATAACAAGTTTACGTGAAATGTGTGTGAAAATAAATATTTCTTGTATGAATGTACCCTTCTTGTACGAGTGCGTAGAGTGATGTATCATAAACTATACCTATTATAGTTTATCTAAAATGTATGTACTATGTATGAACTCTTTTATGGAAAAGTATTAGTGTAGTGAATTTATCGAACTCTTTTCATAGTTTAATAGTGCGTGTTCCAAAATGAATGAATAATATTTAATATGAATGTTTTAGTTTCAGTCTATAATGATAAACTAGCAAGAAAACTCATTCAAATATTAGAACTTATGATTATACACTTTGCTCAACATAATACAAAGTGTTATGATATTTACATGCTGTTGGCAAAATTTAGCAATTCTGCCCTGTTTTGGAAAAATCATAGAAAAATCATACGAAGTCGAAAACTAGATCCGTAAATTCTGAGAGTTCACAAAATGTGTCTAGTTTGCTCATAATTTTTATCACAATTTATAATGACCTCTAACTTGGGTGAAAAAGTCCATAATCACAGACTGGTCCGGATTGTTGTTTGAAATGATAGGCAGTTTTGTAAAAATCACCATAAATTGTAGAAAAATCGTATGGAGATGTGCAAGTAGCCATTTTAAAGCTAAAAACTTGATCTATTTGCACCTTGTACAGTTTTGAAAACAAAAATAGTTAAGATGCCCAAAACAGTCCGTGAATGGAGTTGAACTTTTCTGATGAAGGCTGTTAGAAAAATCTAGTTATGTTCTTAGTGTCTTAACTTGTATTCCCCCCTGAAAACTTGAGAAAACATGAAAATGTAGGGGTATGAACTCACCTTAAGTGATTTCAGTAGGTAAGTGTTGAAGAAGGAAAGTGTTCAACCCAAGAACACTTGAAGAATCACTTGAAGATTCGAAGATCTAACACAATTATGAGAGAGTTTGTCTAAGATATCCATGATTTGAGTGGTAATAAACGAGATAATCACAAAGAGAATGGATTATGCTTACCAAATGTGGAGGAAAAACTCGAGATCAGCCCTTGAATCTCGAATTTCTAGAGAGAGAAAGTGAGAGAGGAAAGAGTTTGATCTTCTTGTGAAATGAGAGTAAATGAGATGATGTGAGGAGAGAGGATGAATAATCAGCCCTCAAAAACGTGGGAGGAGGGATAATTGAGTGTAAGGGAACATTGAAGTGACATAGGTAAGGTGGGGAGGTATGGCTGGTCATAGAGTGGGTGTGGGGTGGTTGCTTGTGATCATACGTCTTTGGACTCAAAAGTCAAGAACAATGTCTTATAATAGTCTATGTGTGTGTATCTCTTTAAAAATTCTGCAATTTCATCATTTTATGACCCCCATTTGCGAAGTTGAGTATTTATTTCCAAAAATGCGAAACTCCAGGGACAATATTTGAAATCTTCTGTTTTCTTCCCCAATTCGCATTCTACTGTGAAATACTTCGCATCTTCATTCTTACACCCTTCGCATCCCTTCGCATTAATCACCTTCGCATTTTATGACCCCCATTTGCGAAGTTGAGTATTTATTTCCAAAAATGCGAAACTCCAGGGACAATATTTGAAATCTTCTGTTTTCTTCCCCAATTCGCATTCTACTGTGAAATACTTCGCATCTTCATTCTTACACCCTTCGCATCCCTTCGCATTAATCACCTTCGCATTTTATGACCCCCATTTGCGAAGTTGAGTATTTATTTCCAAAAATGCGAAACTCCAGGGACAATATTTGAAATCTTCTGTTTTCTTCCCCAATTCGCATTCTACTGTGAAATACTTCGCATCTTCATTCTTACACCCTTCGCATCCCTTCGCATTAATCACCTTCGCATTTTATGACCCCCATTTGCGAAGTTGAGTATTTATTTCCAAAAATGCGAAACTCCAGGGACAATATTTGAAATCTTCTGTTTTCTTCCCCAATTCGCATTCTACTGTGAAATACTTCGCATCTTCATTCTTACACCCTTCGCATCCCTTCGCATTAATCACCTTCGCATTTTATGACCCCCATTTGCGAATATTAACCCAATTGACTTTGAATTGACCAGAATATGACGGTTGTCACAGAAAGAAACACACATGTATTAAAACTTTACTTATAATGCAATGGATGGTGTTGTTGCTTGTTTATTATATTACACTGTTGTGATACTGTACATGACGTCCTCCACCCCTGAACGTTTCCGTCGTTCGTGGTTTTGGGGTGTGACACCTGGAAGGCGAAGGCGTAACCGTACGCTTCCTCGATCGATGATTATGATATCTGGGAACTTTGATATTTAAACTATTTGGAAACAAATTGTGTAACAGCCCAAAATTCAAGCCCGAAAATTTCATTTTTGAATTAATAAAAAACAATCTAACTGAGTAACTTATGTATACAATGACCTGCCCTTTAATGTTAAATTACCGAGAATACTCTTCAGGTAAGTTGACACTTCTTCTTCTCCCTTTCTTCCTTACTTCGAATGTTGATGTCCCGTCTCTTTTGCCATCGTTCATGGCGTTCACCTCCATTCCCACTCCATCAAAGTTCTGGCTTGCTGAAACCCTCACCGGTCTACGTCGACGTCGTTGCCATCCATTGACAAAGACATCCACTTATGTGTTAGAGATGACCGACTTCTTATGTGTTGGAAATGTAATCAAAGCATTTCCGGTTAGTATTTGTTCTTTTTTGTCGGGTGTTCTTATGCTTTGAACAATTTTTAATGACGTTATAGCAATTCTAACTTGGTTCCGTATGACATTAAGAAGACTTAATTTGGGTTTGTTTCTATGTTTCTCAACTATGCTTAACTGTCACTTCCCGGTGTTCGCGGGCCAATACCGCCGATTTGGAGCCATCTACCGTCGGCTTGGAAGTATGTCCCTACACCGGAGGTAAGGTTCAAGGCCTCAAATTGTGGGTTTTTTTTTTGTTCTGTTGTCTAATTTTGGATGATTATTTCTGATGACTACCGGCCACCACCATAGAGATCAAATCCTTTACAACTCCAAATCCCTAAATATCATAATAAATTCTCATAGGTTTAATGTTTATAACTTTGACCTTTTTCGTTTTCCTTTAAGATTTCCCCAAGTTTAATGCCTTATTTAGGTGCTTCAGAGCTCACACTCTTTTCAAAGTTCATCCTTATAGTGACTTTTAGATCTACTGCATCGACTCTAATTCATGGATTTGCAATTGATTGATAATATGTCTATTTTAATAAATAAATCAACAAAATATCTAGCGTAAACTTCTTTCACAAACGATATAATTGAAATCCGTACTTCCCTAGTTTTATTTTAAAAGCGTAGGTTATACATTATAAACACTTTGCTTTGATTTTATGTACGTTGACCAGTCTTTAGTTATCCAAATACGCAGTAAATAGAACATCTTTACATAGATTTATTTTAGTATCCACTTGGGTCGGTGCAATGGGTCATGGTGGCCCAGTCCGCGAGTTGTGGCGGGAAACCCTAACACGCTCTGCTTATTTTCCCGCCAAAAAGTGCATACAAGCATTCATTCATCTGCTTCCCCATCAAAACGAATTCACTTCCAGTTCTGCAAAAAAAGAAAAAAAAACTTGAGGAAGGCATTAGCTAGCCAACAATATGGATTCTTTCGGCGGCGCATATTTCACCGACGAGAAAGCAGCGAAGGTCGAGAATATCTTCTTGGAGTTTCTTAAGAGGTACCGCATCAGGGTTTTTTCGTGTAGATCCAAAACATATTGATGCAATTCATGTTATTTGACAAGTTTTGGTCTTTGCTTTTTTTATTATCGTTACAGTTTTAGATTGGATGCCAATTCGAGGGAACCGTTCTATGAATCGGAAATCGAAGCAATGAGACCAAACGAGTCCAACACCATGTTCATCGATTTCTCTCATGTTATGCGGTTCAACGATGTTCTGCAGAAAGCCATTTCTGATGAATATTTGAGGTAAACTTTCTTGTTTCGAGTGTATTTTTAGTAACAATTTTCGCAAGACTTTTGTGTACTGAAATTGTTGAATTGTAATACATCTTTCAGGTTTGAGTCGTACCTGAAGAACGCATGTAAGCGGTTTGTAATGGGACAAAAACCCACCTTCATAACCGACGACAACCCAAATAAGGATATCAATATTGCATTTTACAATTTACCTGTCATAAAAAGGTTAATTTTCTTTTCTAATATCAACTGACTACCACTTTTACCACCATTTAGTTTGAAGATTTCAAATTTTATATATGTTTGTGTACAGATTGAGGGAACTGAGCACATCTGAGATAGGTAGACTAGTATCAGTTACAGGGGTGGTGACTCGTACTAGTGAGGTCAGACCAGAACTCCTTCAGGGAACTTTCAAGTGCTTGGATTGTGGAACCATCATCAAAAACGTTGAGCAACAGTATAAATACACCGAGGTTTGTTGTGTATTTGTTTATGGTTTGACATGTGTTGGATTTTCAAGTTTGTGCTTACTGGTTTTATTGGTGTTTTTTTCTGTAGCCCATGATATGCATTAATGCTATGTGCTCAAAGAAAGGAAAATGGGCACTTCTCCGACAAGAAAGTAAATTTGCAGATTGGCAGAGAGTCAGGATGCAGGAAACATCAAAGGAAATACCTGCAGGATCCCTTCCTAGATCATTAGATGTCATTCTTCGCCATGACATTGTTGAACAGGCTAGGGCTGGTGACACGTATGTAAATTTACACTTTTTTTAGAAAGATGTAGAAAATAACTCAAGTTTTGTGCTTCACTTTGCAGGGTGATCTTTACTGGCACTGTGGTTGTGATACCTGACATTTTCGCATTGGCAGCTCCCGGAGAAAGAGCTGAAGTTCGTAGAGATGGTGGTAGTAAACGCGACACCACTGGCACTGTTCAAGAAGGTGTCAAAGGGCTCCGGGCTTTGGGAGTTAGAGACCTTTCTTATCGCCTTGCCTTTATTGCCAATTCAGTGCAGGTTTTTCATTTTTGATCATATTGCGATCAATTTCTCTTTGTGGGACTAGTCTATAACGTTGATTCTTTGTTCAGATTTGTGATGGGAGAAGAGATGCTGACATACGAAATAGGAAGAGGGATGCTGAGGATGAAGACAATCTGCAATTCACGGTTGTTGTTCTGTCCCCTTTTTGACCCATATTCTCTAAAGTTATAGTATAATTCAACACTGTAATTAAAGTTTACTTATCCTATATATATTTATTTTTATCGTTATTGTAGGCGGAGGAGCTAGCTGAGGTTAAACAAATGAGAAATACCCCCGATTTTTTCAACAAGCTTGTTGATAGTATGGCCCCTACTGTTTTTGGTCATCAAGACATCAAGCGAGCAATTCTGCTTATGCTTTTGGGCGGAGTTCATAAGTTCACCCATGAAGGGATCAATCTCCGTGGGGACATCAATGTTTGTATTGTTGGAGATCCCAGTTGTGCTAAATCTCAGTTTCTCAAGTAAGCGTATCTTTTTAAATCTTGTTTTATGGAGTAGAGTTTCAATTTTTTTTTATTTTTCTTTTGTAGGTATACGACAACCTTAGTTTCAAGATCTGTTTACACATCTGGGAAATCTTCCTCTGCTGCTGGATTGACAGCCACTGTTGCAAAAGAACCAGAAACCGGAGAGTACGCCTTTATCTTCCTCTCCTTGGCCTCGTCTTCCCTGACGATGCGAGCGTTTTCATCCAGCTCCTTCTCTCTGGACTGTTTCCTCACTAAGCTGACAATCGGTTCTTGATCATCACTTTCATCACTGTCGTCAACAATTTGTTTGGCTTTGCTTTGAGCACTCAAACCTGATGCAGGAACAGGTGTTGGTTTGGGTGCTTTCGGAGGGATAAGTGATGAAAATGGAAGTGATTGAGCTTTGGAACTCGGAGGGGGTTTCGATTGAGCTGTGGGCTACTTTTCTCCCCCTTGTTTCGGATGGTCCTCCTGCTCAGTAATGCCTTCAATATGGCTAAGCAGGGCAAGAGCAGGAGCGAGCTTATCTGCAAGAGTACGCCTCACCAAATAGTTAAGAATCGGATCATGGGCTTCGATAATGTTAGACAAAGCTCCATGGACATCTGAAACACAACTCCTGACCATAGCTTTCTCAGACCGAAGAGAATCGAGGAGAGCTGATGAGTTGCTAGAGTAAGCTCGGAAGATTTTCGAGCAAGCTCGTCCTTTGTGGTGGATTCGGCGGCAAGAGTGGCTTGAAAGGAAAGAAGACGATCCGCAACCGAAGATTGAAAAGATTGATTGTCATCTTTGAGTTTCTGGCGGAAGCTGGAAAATTGGTCTTTTCGGTTTCGAAAGAATGGACCAGCTTCTCCACAACGGTGCGAATCTTCTTGGTGTTTGTTTCTGATGCCGCCTGCAAAGACTCCAGCCAGATCTGGGCGTCTTGAAATAGTTTTTCGACTTTTTCGGTCGCAATAGCACTAGCCTTTGTGGATTTATCAATAGCAACAGCAGCTGAGCTGATGGAGGCTTCGTGTGGTTTCGAGAGAGATTCCACCATTCCCTGAATGGCAGCCTCCGAAAAGTGAGATGTTGAGGAAGAGGAAGAAGCCACAAGATTGTCAATCTTCTCGTGGAGTTCCTTGATGTGCTTTTTAGTAACTGGAGCATCATCATCATCATCACTTTGAAGTTGGTAGGGTTTGTAGTAGATGGAATCAAAAACCGTATCCTCCCCTCCCAAAAAGGTTTCGGTTTCAGCAGATGGAGTGGGAGATAAGGGTGCGGTGGGTGGTTCGGTAGTGGTAGTGGGTTCGGGAACGGAAGTGGGTTCAAGTTGTGAAGTGTCAACCCTCGTATCAGATACGTTGGTTGGAATCTCACTGGTGGTAGTTTTGGTGGCTTCTGTGAAGAATGGTGGGGGAATGGAAGTTGTTGTGGTTGGAAGAGTAGTAGAGGTAGTTATGGGGGGAATAGAAATAGGGTTAGATATGGAGGGAATGGAATGGAGGAGATTATGACGGGAATGGAAGAGGTTATGGTGGGAATGGAAGAGGTGGTTATAGGAGAAGGAGAAGGAGGTTTTGATGAAACAGGTACCTCATGAGCAGGCGCGTGAGGAGGAGTTTCGCCTCTAGCCGACTCATCTGAGTCAGAATGGTTATCTTCTGAATCACTGGATGAAGAAGAAAGAATAAGTTTCCTCTTCGGCTAAACTTTCTTCTTCTTCGTTGTGGGGGAAAGATCTGTCTTTGAGGATTTTCGCTTCTTAGGAGAAGGACCCTTTGCCCCCTTTGCTGCTTTCTTGATCTTCCCTTTCTCGGGTTTCTTCCATCTAGCAGCTGCTTTATCTGCATCATTGATGGACTGAACCATTTCCGCAGAAAGTTCCCGTGGACCCGAAGGACAAAAGTCCTTGTAGGCCTTCATTATAACGCTCTCCTTGGACACCCCAGCGGACATAGAATCCGGAATGGATCCGACGAAGGAAAACTTGGTCGGATCGGTAACAATGATCTTGGTGGTGTGGAAGACACTGATGGAGGAGAGAAGGGAACCTGAAACTGTGGGAACGTGAAGTTTATCCATGGCCCACTTGGTGATTAGCGTCCAAAATCTGGCGTAGGACACCTCAGTGTGGCGAGAGGAGGAGGCTAGGCTCTGAATGAGTTGTTGCCAGAGAACCGAGCCATAGTCGAGGTTGATGTCGTGATATAGACCATAGAGAATGGTCATGAACAACTTGTTGGCCCCATCAGAACTAGAACTGCGCTCAGAGAGCCCTTTGAACAGAATGGTGAAAAAACCATTCCATGGAGGAGGAAGACACGACTTCTTGAACTTCGTGACCGTCATGAGAATCTCCGTGTAGCCCATGTTGTAGAACATCGAAAATAACTGTCCTACTGTGATGGAATCGGGATTAACCCTAGATTCATCGGCTTCAAAACCTAGGAGCCATCAGAATCGTTGCTTGGAGATGGAGGTCTTGTGAGAAAGAAGGTCAAAGTAGATTCGATCCACTGATCTATCATAATGGGCAGTGGAGAAGACCTGGGAAAGGCATTCCATGGGCACAATCTCGACCTTGGAAAGAGCGAGCACCAATGGAGAGTATTTGAGACACTCCACCATGGGATACATATAATTCTCGTAAGCTTTAGGGATTAAATCAATCACCAAACTTTGTTGAGTGCGGATGGGAAGAATGTTGGTGCGGGAAGAGGTTTCCTGAACAGATGAAGAGTCCGCCATTGTTGAATGTGGAAGATGATGAACAGTAGAGTATAAATCGCCTTATATTGCTCGATTGATTTTTGAATCATGTAAGTATGGAATGAAGCACAGGTGTTCCTTTTATACTGTGGGTAGAGGAAAGAGAAAAATCATCCCACAAATCTTCTTGATACACGAAACAATTTCGGATGTGACAGAAACGCGACGGTTGGCACCCTCGATGATTACGCATGAGAGAGAAAAACTGTTTCATTTTGCACGCGTGCCCGTCACCTCACTATTGAAGCCGTTACTCTGTCGGCTGAGTTAGCATCTTATCTGTTAAATAGCTGTCATCCAAACATAAGATTATAATGGAAACGAACGAGATTTTTGGAAAATCAAAGATTTTCGTGCATAGAGTGTGAAAGATAAGGAAATAAAGCGAGATATATGTGGGAATTTGTGATGTCAATATAGACACAAAATAGTTGATCCCGGGCACGAATCACTTTCTTCAAGGTCAAGAGAGACCTTAAAGTGTCTGTATGGATTTCCGTTGAATTACGATCAAACACTTTCTAAGAAGTGTTGAAAGGCATCTTTTTATAAGGCTAAAAAGGGTGGCTTTCGCTTTAGTTTAGAATCCCGGATCTTGACATAAGACCAAGACTAAATGAAGTACCTGTGAGACCGATGTGGTCTGTTGAACAAGTAGGTTGGATTATATATATAGTGACTTATTGAAGATGTGTGATTGTGAAATCTCAAAAAAAAAAAATTAACTGGATTCTAAGGGAAGAAATGCTATGGTAAATAACAATTTCATAAGAATCTCACAACCAAAAAGAGATTTCATGTTTACCGTCAATTCATGTTAGGTATTGAATTTTGGGTTTCACTAAGCACGTAGTGACACAAGGCTTAGATCATAAACACAGAGATTGTGTAACCATAAACCTCAGTGGTTAATTATAAGAATCTCAAGGGTTACTATATGAGACCGAAATATGATGGAGAAATATATTGAGGTGGTGAAGAGAAACGATAGTACCTCTGCTGAAAATAGTGACCAAGCAGTAAACTCTTAACCCATATGAGAAAAGAGTAAGGTAGCTCAGGATTAGAATAAATGGAGCAGCCTTATTGGGAAGACAAGGTTTGTATATACCTAGTCATTAAGGCTTTTATTCAAAAATCAGTTGAGACTTTGGACAACATGCAGCAGCATGCTTCTAGGGACGCTTAACTATAAAAAAAATGTGAGAACGAAACCTGGCCCATCGATATTTAAACAAGAATGAAAGAAGAAAAAAATATTTTTGGAGATTTTAAGTTTTTGAAACGAGAAAAACCAAACAAAATAAATAAATAAAAATTGAACCGAACCCGAAATGGACCGAACGCTCGGTTCATTTCGGTTCCTAAAAAAAATATTTTTGGATTTTTGGAAAACAGCTTTACAAAAGTTTACAACCATAGACAATACCTTTTTGAGATTGAGCGAAAATATGTGCAATGGGACCGAACCCAAAATAGACCGAGCGTTCGGTTCATTTCGGTTCCCATGTGAACCGAACCCGAAATAGACCGAGCGTTCGGTTCATTTTGCTTCTAACTTTTAACTTTGAGATGGTGTTTTTGGTACCAATTCTGATTCCATCATTCCTAGACCTTGAAGGATTTTATTGAAACTTGCTTCAGGTAGGGCTTTGGTGAAGATATCGGCCAGTTGATCAGTGGTTCGAACAAAGTGAATTTCGACATTTCGATCCTCCACATGATCCTTAATGAAGTGATACCTCAGTGCTATATGCTTGGTCTTAGAGTGTTGCACTGGGTTATGACAGATCCTAATTGCACTTTCTGAATTGCAATATAGTGGGATCTTTTTCATGTTGAGTCCATAATCTCTGAGCTGGCTTTGGATCCATATGACTTGAGATGTGCAAGAGGCGGCTGCGATGTACTCTACTTCGGCTGTAGAAAGGGAAACGCAGGTTTGCTTCTTTGACTGCCAGCTGACCAACTTCCCATCAAGGAATTGGCAACCCCCTGTGGTGCTTTTCCTGTCTAAACCACATCCTCCAAGGTCTGCATCAGAGAAGGCTTGAACGAAGAAGCCCGAGTTGGATGGATACCATAGACCGAGAGAGGTAGTTCGCTTCAGATACCTGAGTATATTTTTCACTGCAAGCATATGTGGTTCTCGTGGGTTCGCCTGAAACCTAGCACAATAACATACGAAAAACATGATATCAGGCCTGCTAGCAGTAAGATACATTAAGGACCCAATCATCTGGCGGTATAGCGTAATGTCAACTGCCGGTTTCTCCAGCGAAGGTGTGAGTTTGGTGCCGAATGCCATTGGAACCTTGACCTTTGAGTCTCCCAGCATACCAAATTTGGCAAGAAGAGTTTTGGTGTATGCTTCCTGGTTGATAAAGATGCCTTCGGGTCCCTGTCTAATATTTAAACCAAGGAAAAAATTAATCAGACCCATGGAGCTCATTTCAAATTTAGTCTCCATCAGCTTTCTGAATTCAGCTGTTAAGCTGGGATTCGTTGAGCCAAAGATGATATCATCAACATAAATTTGTACAATCATAAGGTGGTTACCTTCCTTCTTACGAAAGAAGGTTGGGTCAACCGAACCTTGTTTGAATTTGGACATCTTTAAAAACTTAGTTAGCGTTTCATACTAGGCCCTAGGTGCTTGTTTCAGACCGTAAACCGCTTTGTCCAGAATATAGCAGTGATTTGGGAACTTCTCATTGACAAAACCAGGAGGTTGCTCCACGTAGACTGTTTCTTCGAGTTCTCCATTCAGAAAAGCGCATTTGACGTCAATTT